CGGACCTCTTTGAAAATGATGACATAGGCAACTATCATTATTGTAACAGGTAAAAAGAAATAAAATACAAGCAAAAGTATGGTTAAAGTTGGGTGTTTCAGCCAGTTTATCTCACACTCTGCCATGACTGGGTTAAAGCGGTGTTCAGCGAGACCCAAGGCGGGAAAAATCGCTAACACAAGCGACTGCAGCCATATGTAAATCAATAAAATGACAATTCGTTTTGGGGTCACCTTCATGTCGTAGGACAGCGGCCATTTTATCGCGATAAGTCTTTCAATGCTGATTGCACAAAGATGAAGGATAGAAGCTCCGCATAAAAGAACGCCGAACATTGAAGAAATGTGGCACCATGTTTCTCCAAACGGCCATTGTCCTGCATAAACTGAAATGTTAATGTAAATTACTCGAAGTATCGGAACTAACAGGTCCGCGCCAGCTAAGCTGCAAACTAAATAGTTAGTCAGGCTTCTTAAATTCCTGAATCTCCAAACTGCAAGGCACACCAGACTATTACCAAGAAGCGTAAAGATGGAGAGGAGAGAGAGGATAACTCCAAAGCAAATGGATTCCACTTCAGGTATTGAAGTCAGCATGTCATTCAACGGAGGAGCACTAGTTTGATTCATGACTTCACGCGCGTTGAAATACGAAAACAACCCTGAAATGTAAAGAGTAGTTCAGTGTATACATTAAGAAACATCCACTCCAAAGATGAATGGCTGACAATCTTACTGTCTGGTTGTTCGTCAGTCACAGAGTATAGTACAATCGTCGCCTCTTATTTAAATCATCATTACTCAATACCTTCAAGAAGTATTTAAGTTGTCGAGTGAAACTTCAGAAAACTCTCGACGATGACAGCGCATTGTATGATCTACACTTTGAATTTTGCGCATTTAATGAACAGCAAACAAGATTGATATTGCGAAATGTGTCAAAAAAAGCAAACATTGGGAAGCATTAACAGAAAGAGACAGTATTGCAATTGTAATCTATTGATTTGATCAAAAGGTAAAAAAAGAAAGGAATAGAAAGCCGCGGAAGTATAAATCAAAATATTAAAATTGCGTTTTAATACATATCCGCCCTTCAGGTGCCGGTCAGTGATAGCGCGAGGTGATTGTTAAGCAATGAAATAAGACGATGCTACGAAAGAAATTTCCCTAAGATATAAACCAACTAATCCCTCAGAAAAGGTACTTCAGTGATATCTCTTGTAGGTCGGGGTTTTTTTAACGGAAAGCAGTTTTGAGTCATACACAGAGAAAAGCGTTTCTAATGGAATATATATTTTTTAAAAGAAAACAAACTGAGTTTCCTATCGTGTCATTTCCGACACAATTCTCAGCTGGTGATCTATTTATACATCCGTGTTTTGCAGGAAAGCAAATAGCTTCGATCAAATAAACGGTTCTCGGGCGACTCTAAATTAAAAGAAAAACACTTTTTTCCTGAAAAAAGCGTGTTAATTTTCACTTGAGCCACAGTGTCAAAACGAAACACCGTTATATTTCTGTCAAAGAAATAAAGAATCAAACGGCACATTTTAACATAATTCATAACCTTCAATAATTCGAATTTTTTGTAAGACGTTACCTTATATGGAAAGTGCGCAAATTCGCCTCAGTGATTGGCCAACGAGGAAGTAATTGGCCGATTGGATGACGTAATTATGTTTCTGTGAAAAGAAACATAGAATACATAAAACGTCCGCTAAACGGCATCTGAGCGATCGAAGCCTATGACTATTTTGCTAAAACTAACAATTGTCCTGGTAGCTGATCAAATATTCAGCAAGATTTTGATTCCTTAACAGCCTTAAGGTGTTCAGACAAAATATTTATCCAGTTTCGATCTACATGCATTTATTGAACAAAAATCAGTCTTTGATAGCATATGTATTGTGTTTGCACCGATTTATTATCAGCTTCCAAAATAAGCTGTAAGTAAGACCGTTGAAGAAAAGGTGATGAGAACATGGCCTTCATGCAGAGCTTAAAAACATGACCACAAGGAGCAAGAGAGCTTTAAATGTAATCACCCTGCTAGTTGATATTGAACTTAGACGTCCTTTACAACTATCTCACTTGTTAAACAGCTACTTAATTGGATTTCTACTTTTCTATTCGTAGTTGTCACGTGGTATTTGTTTCATGCGTACTATAGCATAGCACTGAAATAACTTAATGCCTTTTTGGCAAGGCCAATCACGTGACTGAAGCATAAATGAGACTGCCCCAAATAACAACCAATATCAACAAACACTTAGATGAACATTCTGCTTACTACCGGGACTGCCATGACTTTCTTATAACAAGAAAATATCAGCGTCTGCTAGAGGACTGTACGTCCTTAGAATGCGATACGTTTTTAGAATTCAATCTCGGGGTCTGAACGCTTCATAACGAGTTCATCAGGGCTCTTGCGTGTTTCGCAATTTTTAATTAAAATAAGTCACTAAGAACACTTGGCAATGTATGAGAGGATTAGCAGGTTCATTAAAAGACTGGCACAAATAATGCACAATACATAATGCACCCAGTGGAGATGACTGACGTCAACATTTTGTCATTTGTTGTATTCAAGGCCTCAACGAACCATTGATATTTGCTTTGAAACCTGTTTCTGGCACTTAAGCTGTTATTGATATTGAATTCCAAAAAAACAAAAACAATCTATGCCGTTTCATCTGCGAAAACCAACTAGTATGATGTTCAATATTGTGTTGATGAAGGTTATAGAAACGTTCACGAACGTGCGAAAGAGAAAAAAACAATTTGCTAACGAATTTCTAGCCATAACTTCACAAAAGCAATAAAAACAGAAGAAATTGTTTCTCTGTGTTGTTGCCAGAGATGCAAATCAGTAAAAAATTCCCCATACTCTAATGCTTTCTTCTTTTGAGGGTTATCAAGAAAAAATGATTTCACGAACGTTCGTTTTATTCTGACTGACATTTATATGTTCTTCAATTTTTCTTTAAAATATTAGCTTTAACCACTTACTTCTGGTCCACGAATTATTCATTTAATTTTCGGATTTAGACAGCTTTGTTATTAGCTATTTAGCTTTTAAAACTTGTCTGTTAATTTGAGCTCACAAATGTTAACCTTTCAGACAAATCTAGTCATTTTTACATGCTGCAGATAGTTTAAGGGTGAAATACAAATCGGTAAAAATTCTGCGAGTTGTATTTTTTTTTTTTTTTTATCTAACAGTTTCGTCTTTCAGTTCCCGAGTTCCCGTAAGGTTTTATTGACTGCTCAAGTGAATGAGAAATGGTTGCAGGCTTTTGTCAGTAATCTAGAAATCAATGATGTTTCCTAAAAGACCGTTTTTGAAATAAACCACTGTCCAAAGTCACTGACAAGTTTCGTATTCAAGACGAATGGCACTAAAAGCTTATTATCATAAGGGATGACAAATTATTCAAATTTGTAATAAAGACTTGACAATACACTGCTGAAATTACAAAGATAAAATAGAACAAAATTCTCACCTTGTTTATGGTCTTGTTAGCAAATGATATGAAAAGCACTTCAACAGTAATTTTGTAGGGCTATGTTCCTCTTTGCCTTCCTATTCTATAACACAATCAGAAATGCACTGTAGTAAAAATCTTGCCTCTAAAATATTCCTTTGAAGTCTACGTCACCGTATTGTCATTCGAATAAACTTGCAGCAATGTTTTCAAAGCGAGAGGGAATTTAAAGTCACTGAAATTAACCTGGTATATATAATATCTGAAACTGAAGTAACAGAAAGAAAAATATATCAGAGAAACAGCTGCAGCAGAACAGCCAAGTAAAATCGGTGTCCTTGAGCCGCCGCTCTCTGAAACCTGTCAATATGACATGAGTAACGTCCGGCGTAATTTGTGTGCTATATTGGCCTAAGTAAACGTTAACCACTTTACTATTTAGACATTAGTTTCGCATTACAACAATGAGTATACATTGAAATCTCAGTCTCTACTCTGAGATGTTTTGTTGTTGCTTGTAGTGCGCGCTCGCACCGTTTTTTCGGGACGATCGCATTTCCGTCCACGAGATACAGAATAAAATACTTTATGTAGATTAAGAATAAGCCGACTGAGGAGCGGTGAAAGTATTGAAGTAATTAAAGAATATCTGAAGTAAAAAATGTTCAAACTGTCAATAAAGTGAAAAACAAAAGAATTAAGTTTCCATTGGTGTTTAGACTAAAGTAAGTTACGTTCACGTAGGTATGCTTGTTTGGATTTTTTTTTCTTTGTTTTTGTGTTTTGTTTTGTTTTGTTTCCAACAGTGTTAAATGACCGTTTACTTTTTCTGGATACCTCGAAAAACCACCGATAGCTGTTTGTTGCGTTTTATGTCCTGAGAAACCCAGTAAAAACAGTGTTGTTATGCAGGGAGGTTAATTGTTTGTTTAACACTGAACAGATCACAAGACGAATAAGGACTCTTGTTCTCTGCTCTTTCTCCTGATTCTTTATCATAAGAAAATAAATAATGAGTTTTTTGCATCAGAAAGCAATATTAAGAATTGCCTGCTAATGTGTTTTACATTGTTTGATCCTAATGCTCAATTTCAAGTTTGTTTTAAAATGGTAGATTTTATAGACTTTTGTTCCTCTCTTTTTATGTTAAATTGTATAGATCTGCAGTAAAAAAGATTGCTATGTAAATATTGTTATCATTACAACCACGTTTAAGCCTGCAAAACTATCTCCACTGAGAAATATTCGAAGAAGAAACCAAAAAAATACGCTAACTACTTACGAAAATACGAACAAACTGGAAAAGTGTTAACTGTAGTAAAATCAAGTCCGAAAATGATGTCTGCATTAGTATCTGTTCTCAGGACCTTATTGGGTTCAAATTTGAATTAGGAACATTAAGCACAATGTCCCTTTATGTTCATTGGCTATTCTCTTTCAAATCACCAGCTACAAACATAGCCTATCACCGCACCGCGTCCTGGGAATGATAGAAATCTTGTCAGGAACCACAGAAAACTTGAAACCGAGGCTCCTAACCAAGGCTCTTCATTCTTAGACCCAGACCCTACTCCTCTGTAATAATCGTGATCGAACCGCCATATTTGATGATGTTGCCTTGGGAACACTTGATAGCTGCATCATCTAAGTCGCTTGATCATTTCACCTGCGTGGCAAATAAATGTATCTTTTACTGCTGGTTGGTTCAAAATGGTTCAAATTCATGATAAAAATGGTACATGTTACGTTGTTTTACATTTCAAGTAAACAAAAACAGTGAGTTTTGATGATCCCTTGATATCATACAAGCTGACGGTGGAGTATTCATTTCGAACGTTTTCGTATTCTACATCAGTTAAAATCACCAGTTGGTTGTAAGCTTAATATTAAAGCAGGAATAAAATATATTGTAGTTGGTGCGATATTTCCTCAGTGACTGAATTCATAATAAGCCAGAAATTTACAGTCACTCCTGACAAGGAAGTCTAGGTTAGCTGTCAAGTGAATTTTTCAGAATTACAAGTTGTCCAAATGATGACTCGACGCTTTGAAAGGACAACCAATCTACATAAAAAATCATCCTAAATATAAAATTCATGCCGTAAAGATTTCAAAAACTTTTTTGTTGAGAAAGAAAACGTTCTGCAGATGATAACCCAGGCTTGACAAGAAATGAATCTTCCAGACTAAACTGACATTTTGATGTAAACCGCAGGATATTGAGTTAAATAGAGGCACTCCAACTTCAAGGCTAGAGATAAAAAGCGCAAAACATCAGCAGCTGGTTCTGACGTTTCAGAAAATCTATCTTTGCAAAGTTCTTTATATAAAGCATTTCAAATTTTCAGTATCAATTAATCAAACATGATGTTATAATGAACATCAAGTGCTTTCAGCGGAACACGGCCAAGGACTACATAAATTAATTATTCAAAAAATGGCATATGCCGCTCTTGGTCGTAGGTATCTCAGAAATCTGTATCAAACTCAAAATCTGTAGATTCTACTTACGAATTTGCGGCGAAAATCAGCGGATCAATTTATGTCAAGATATTTACAAAAGCTGTGTAAACAAACGCGATTGCTGCGTCGTTGTTATCTGAATTGTGATCAAATCGAAGAGGACGGATCTGTTTATTCGAGGTGACCATGCTGACCAAATGAGACATTTTAATTATAACCTGACACTAAGCAGTGCAAAAAGGACGAAAAAACGTCCAATATCCGCCAACGTACGCCAAAAGTTAATTACAACGGGTATAATTACTTTTCTCAATTAGTTTCTTGTCCTATATCATCAGGGAGTACCAGAGTCTTTACGACATTAAACGGTCTTTTCTCAGAAGTCGCTCCATTTTGGGACGGCAAAGCACTGGTACAAGCAACTCTCCCGTCCGACAGGTAATTCAGCAACTGGACAACTGATAAAAAGCTGAAAACTGAGATAATCCGAAAAAACAATTTGTCTGCGATCAATTTAAGCTAAAATACGCTTTTATCAAGAATCATGTTCGGAGCTATGAATAACACCACCCGTGGAACAGTCGACAACTGCACTGCTGACCTGTCCTTAATTTCCTCGATTTTTCTGATATGTTTGTACTCTGTATCGAGTATAACTTGCCTGTTCGGCAATGGAATTGTTCTGCTCGCAATCTACCAAACGACTGCACTTCGCACAGTATCGAACTTTTTCATTGCTTCACTGGCCTTCGCGGACGTTTCGGTGGGTGTCTTCATGAACCCAATTCTGATTTCGAAAGTGGCGCTGGACCTGTGGCAAGGAAATCACTGGCTCTCAAAGCTAGCAGACTTCATGTGGATACAAACAACAACAAGCACAACGTTTAATTTATGCGCTGTTAGCATCGACAGGTACGTGGCAATTACAGCCGTGTTCAAACATCACACAGTCATTACGTGCAAGAAATGTTTCGGGGCGCTAACTTTTATTTGGATATTTTCTGTGATGTTTGCTTCGACGAGATTTTTTATCCACAATCAAGCTATTTTACCAAGGCTTTGGATTTCAACCACTCTGATCACAGTTATAATTCCTTTACTTTTGATTGGATTTTGTTATGTGCAAATCTACTGCGCGGCCAGAGCGCAAATCAACAAAATCGCCAAGCGCAAGTTGACCGCCGAGGAAGCGAAACTATCTGCAAAGAACAGAAAAGCAGCCTGGACGGCGGCAATAATTATTTCACTTTTCGTAATTATGTGGACACCGAGCTTTGTGGCCTCTTGTATTGAGCTAACCACGGTGGATCGTTGTAAAACATTGCGAATTGATTTTGCGTGGTTCTGGCTGGCTTTTCTATGCTTTTGCTCTTCAGCAATAAATCCCTGGGTATATACAATACGAGTGCCCGAGTTTAAAAATACCCTGAGAAGAATTTTGGGACGAAAGCGTTTGAAGAGAGAACTTTCTCGGAGTATTGCCGCAAGTTTTCGAAACTCGAAAAGCAGTTAGCTTTTTAATTGCCAAACCTCTGGGTGGAGCAAAAAAACTTGGCCTTCTGACATGTTCAAACCGGAGGGAAAAAAAATCGTTTTTGGATTTACGTCGTTGTGGTTGTAATATTTACATGTAAAGATTTCGGAAAATTGTACAATATTTCGTTGGCATAATTGCTGCTAACTGTACTCAGTTTAGAGGGTGTCACTTTGCAGATTGGCTGGCAGCTGGCGAAATTAAGTCATTGCGCTGCAAGTTATCAGTTAATGTGATATTTTTAGCTTTTGGCGATCAAAATTACCTGCTGCAAGTTAATAGTTATATTTTCTACTCATTTTACTTCCACAATGAAACTAACTTTAAAAAATAGTCTACTTACCCGTTTTTGTTTGAATCGTACATTTGCAAGCTAAGACTGTACAAGACGATAAAATGGTCATCAATTTTCTACCAGACTGGTTGGACTGATTTCCTTTGGTGGGGGGTTTTTGCAAGCTAAGACTGTACAAGACGATAAAATGGTCATCAATTTTCTACCAGACTGGTTGGACTGATTGGTGGGGGGTTTTGAGGAAAATAATTTACAGTTTTACAGTTCTTTTATAGAATAATGCACGGGTATGTTGAAGCCCAACCATCCGGGTGGTGTCGCCCTTATATAGCACAAGAACAAAAGGCTTGCGTGTGAGCCAATGAGGAAGCACTGACGTCATGGTCAAACCGGACAAACGAGTTTCTGAGACCGGCTGGATTTGATGATCCAAACTGATGGCGGACAAATTCTGTCCAACAATCTTTTGAATCTACTCTTCATTCACAAGTTTCTATACGTCCAGCGACTCTTTAACGCCGTTACCATCTCTTTCTGTAACGCTGCTTATTTCTGAAGAAATTGTGGCGAAGAATTGGGTTTCCTTGCCACGAGCGACTTCAAAGTGATCTTCGAACCCGTTCATACCGTTCTCATCGTTTCTTGTTGGATTCCGCCTGCTATTCATCGATCCGTCTCAATGCTTCGATGCCGCTCATCACGTTGTCAAATGATATATCTGCAAACTCAGGGCCTAAAGTAATCTTAAACCAACAACTCCCTAAAACTCGGGGCTTAAACATTCAGGTCACCTAAACATCGGAAGTTTGGGACCAAACAGTGACCAAAGTTGGACTCCATTCGAATTTTGGTTGAAAGATCAGCTCCTTCGATAGTTTCACGATTTCGGAAACAAGGCTTAATCCAGCGATATTGAATCACGATCTTTGTACCTGGTAACAGCATTGTGAGACAAGATCTAATCGGAAGGGAAAACGAGGTGGCTTCGCAAATTATAATCGTGATGGAATTCTTTTTCGTCTTCGACCTGATATATACTACCTTTGGGAACGGTTTGATTGAAATCGCTTGAGTTAAGATTAAAAATCTACTTATTGGTGCTATCTGCAGAGCTTCTAATGTCTCCGCCCAACTATATTAATGAAATGGACGCTGTTTTATCAAAACTCCCCGATGCCGCTGAACTTTTTTGTATTAGGAGCCTTACATGTAGATTTCATTTGTAAAAAAATATAACAAACTTGAAAAAGAAATTGCCGATCGAGCTTTCCAAATTCACATCCCACGAGATCAACGACAAACAATGAATCTCAAATTGATCTCATATTTATAAACAATTGTTATCCCATTGTTAATTAGGGTGCGATTTATCCGAGTTTGACTGATATGTCATTCTCTAGTGCATGTACAGCCTCATTAAGGCAGGTGTCCCTAAGGCGCCTGCGCGCTTTATTGAATAACGTCATTAGTCTGAAGATGTCAACGATGCCGTAAACACATGGTGTACCATCTACCATTGTACAGATGATCAATACGCTACCATCAAAAAACAAAAGGGAGCTTAAGCAAACCACAATGAAATTGGCAATTGTAACGTCGCTAAACAAACTACAATCTTGGATAATTTAATGAATAATTAAGGCCACGCCCTCCCCCCATTTCAGTGATGGAAAAAATGGCGCGTTTTGGTTTTAGCGCCACTTCATCATTGAGTCGGGGGCAGGGGTGATTTTATTTCTTGTTTTATGCTGATCAAGATTGTAGCTAGGCTTTTTAAGCAGAACAATATTAAATCACCTGCGGTTTAATTCTTGCTACATTTCTTTGTTTATCAAAATCAACGCCGTCTTATCTGCTCGGTTTTGAGATATTTCCGACAGTGAAAGACGAACTGAATGACTCTAGCTTATTGCGTGATCAGTCGTAGGTGAAATATAAATATAAATATATTTTTCAATCGACGTTGCCGGTCCCCGGCGTCGCCGTCGTGCACGTTGGTGGCTTAACTCCCTTACCCAAAAAGCACGGGGCAATTTCGACTCAATGTGCAAAGACTTAAAAATGCTCAGAGAATCTAAACTGAGCAGTGCAGAAAATATTCAAATAATGTTTACTTAGATGCTCTGCGCAACCAATTCAAATGTTCCTATCTGGTGTCATAAGAGCTGGTCGCCATAGATCTACTTGATCAGGACGCGGATAGCAGCCGCCTGGCTAATGAAAAACGAGTATACGCACTTATAACACCGACATTGATTAGAACTTCCAAGCCTTGCCACCATGGGTGTTGTAGGTTGGGGTCGCCGTTTGACAGTTCTGCGTTTGGAATAACCTGCAGGTGTATCTGTGTATCTATCGCGTGCGCAGATTCTTCACGCAAGCATGAAAGGGGAGGGGTGTTTCAATTCTAACAGGAATATTTCACCTTTTTTTTTTCTTTTCTCTTTTTTCTTTTTTCTTTTTTTAATGACCTACCTCATATGAGCCTTCCTGTAGTTTAGCCGGATAAAGCGTCAAACCGCTGTGCGGAAGTCCATAGGCCCGCCTTCAGTTGGTAGAGCTTTTTTGTGTACGTGACTGCCGTTGAGGGCAGCTGTGCCCTGTTAGCCATTGTCTTGAAAGCAATAGCCTTAGATCCTATCTAGGTTACAAAGGTAGCCTCTTGCAGGCGTTCAGTTATATCATGGAGGGTTAGGCCGCAAACTTTGGACAAGTATATTATCTGGTGTATCAGCACAAATTGCTGAGTTTTTTCATTGATTTTCTTAAAAACCGTTCAAAGCCAAATCGGGCCTCAGTGCAGAATTTATTACATTGTTATGATAATGAAATTAATATACATATGCGTTTGCTAAGAAACTTACTGGCGAGATAACTCAGCAGCGAACCCAGTCGCATCCTATCCAAGCACCGTTCGATATCGTACATATTCTCTTGCTCTTCATTCTGGGTTTGTTCCAGACCAGAGTGCTTCCCATCTCTCATAACACAGGTCAGCGTATTACACTATTATTTTCTATTGTTATTTGGAAGACACTATTTGTCAACAAAGGCCTATACGTTTTGATCCCATAGTCACGCTTCTTTCACATTCAGTTAGTACATCTGTTGGAGCTAGTGCGTAGAAACGGCTAATGAATGTAAACAAACGAGAAAATAACTGACAACACTATGTCCAATAGAAAATAGAAAATATCATTTTTTTTCCAAGCTGGAGCTTAGCGTGAATTAATTAGCAGTTTTGTCTTCAAGCGAAGAAAAATATGAAATATTAATGACTGATTTGTTTTTCTCTTGCTCTTTAAGCCACACGTTTTGAAACACGCAATTAAGTGAACTGAGGATATGTTTCTTTTTACACAATCTTGAAATGAAGAAGCCTCTAGGGATTATATTCTGATGATCGAGTAATGAGCTATCAAATTTCCTTTTTTGCCGAGGATTAGCCATTGGTCAGACCTACCTAAATGAATAGAATAATAATCAGTTTTAGATTATTGGGAAATACATCGAGATAAAAGTCAAGTTCTCCACTCAACTGACACCTGGAGAAGAACACATCAACTGGTGAACATAACAGCTGAATAACAGGAAGGCTTAAACGACAAGACCTCGGCAGGAATTGAAAAAGTCAGGCTAGCTACAAACAACAACTGAGATGAACGAAACAACCAGTCCTCCAGTCATTTCTGCAAGGTCGCCGGCATTTATCTGGCTGGTGGTGTTAAGCTGCATGTCTGGTGTTGTGGCAGTTGTTGGAAATGCGGTCGTTCTCATTGCTATATACCGTACGAAAGCTCTCCATACAATCTCCAATTTCTTCATTGCCTCGTTAGCAGCAGCCGACATGGTGGTTGGAATTCTCCTTAATCCTCTCTTATCTGCAAAAGCCGTCATATTTAGTTACCAGAATCCTGATCTCCCGATCAGAGGCTCTGTGTTCGACAAAGTAGAAGATTTTGCGTGGATCCAAGCAGTGGTGGCGACTACATTCGGTTTAACCGCCATCAGTGTTGATCGTTACATCGCTGTGAATTTCGGGCTCCGATATGAAGCTCTTGCTACCCTGAAACACTGTGCACTTGCAACTGCTTCCGTTTGGATTACATCTCTGGTCTTTGCAAGCGTTCGGTTATTCATCGACAATCCCGACTATCTATCGATTCTTTGGCTCGTCATGGGAGTCATAACTTGCATTTTACCCTTTATCATTATAACGTTCTGTTACATGCAGATTTTCAAGGCGGCTAAGCGACAAGTTCAGAAAATAAAGCACGAAAACTCATTGACAAGTCGCTCTGGCTTTCGGCGAAAGAACACTCAAGTCAGCCACGCTAAGACAGCGTTCACTGTTGCTATAGTCATTGTTCTCTTTGTTGTGTTGTGGGTACCAAGTCTTGTCACAGCAGTAGTCCAGGTCAGTTTGGCAGGATCACAGATGCCTAAGCATCAAGTAATTTTCACGAGATTGGAACGCGTCGCATGGCCTTGGGTCTGTTTTGTAGCGTATCTGAGTTCGGCTGTAAATCCTTGGATATATTCTATTCGGTCGAGACAATTCAGAGCTGCTTGTTCACAAATTTTCAAATGCTTTGGAAGGCTCCGTCCCAGAAATGAGCCAGAATTGTCCTCAACTGAACGGGGAACCACAATTCCTAACACTTCAGCTTGCTGCGAACCAAACACGGGATAATAAACCTGTAACAGGGGGACCCCTTTTCATGAAGGTTTAATTAATCTAAAGAAAGTCTTCATACATGGCTACCCGTTCAACAACAAGACAAATTTGATACAAATAATTTAAAATAATAATTTTTTAAGAGAGGTATCTAAGATGCTTCGTTAAATTAACAAGCGCGGTTGGAAGATATTAAAACTCAAGCCTCTATAGAAATAGAATGAGTGACACCTTAATAAAACAGGTGGTAGGAAATTAACATCAGAATAAGACCGAATAGGCGCCAGTCCGTTTTTTTTTTTTTTTTTTTTTGAACTGATTAGAAAGTTGACAGATATCAGGCTTTTAACTGGCCAGGCTAGGAGTTTCTTCTTGTTTAGTATTAGAAAAAAAAAATGTCCAAAATAATATATTTTAAGCCACTTTAATTAATTCATTTGTCTAACTTTACTCAGCCAACCCTTTGTAAATAGTTAAAACGAAGGCCGACAGTCATAATAATAATGGAAGTAACTGATATGAAGCGAAAAGTGTATTTGCATTTAGGGCCTTTGGATTTGCATTTATTGTTTAAACAAGAATTAATCCTTTAAAGGGTGGTGTTTACGCATAACTGATAAGCATGGTGGGCGACATATGCAGATGTAATGAGTGTTTGATAATTGGGGCTTTTTTAGGACAATTTCCGAACAGAAGACGCTACTTAGCGGCACTCTACTGCACCAGCGTATTTTTCTTATTTTTAAATTAATTTATTTTCTTAATAACAATGACGTGTACCTATAATGAGAATATTACCCTCACTGCCTAACATTACTTAGTGGAGNATAAGAGGGCGGGAAGCGGGAGAGAAATACGAAACGCTACTATTTTTAATTCAGCAGTGCGTTAGAATACTTTCAAAAACAAGAACCCAAAATACATTTGACTTGCATTTAACGTCTTTTCAGTCACTTCTAAGACTTCTGAGCAAACGAGCAAACGAAAATTTCCGCTTGGGCTGAAAAACAGTCTCACTTCCGGTGAAATAATAAACCCGTTTACGGTGGTTGCGTCATGGGTCATGAAATGTCAAGCGGCATGAGTGCACATGTGTAAGCTGTCAAATTGCAAAAAGGTGAGACGACCTACTTCCACGATTTAATTGTCTGATCCCAATAAACGCCGGACTGGTTACTGGAAATGTGTATACTTTATCAGAACACGAGACAATTTAGAATTAACTTTTGAGACCGTCGTCACTGAAAACGGATTTCAGAAACAAATCCCCATGATGAAAATGGACTGAAATGGTGAAACTCAAAGAAGATAAACAAGTAGGTCAAAACTTCGTTGAATTGAAACATATGGCAGTGGTAATCTTGTTTAATTATTTAAAAACAAAGGAAATGCTTAAGAATTGCGAAACTAGGATGTGTTTTGACTCTGCCAATTTACAGGAGACGGGAGCAGCACGGAAAAGGGCGGGAGGCGGGAGATAAAGGTACGGGAAGGGTACGGGAGGCGCGAGGTTCTGACCTCCCTGCCCCCCCCCCCCCCCCCCC